TCGGCTGTTATAAGATTCGGGCCCTGCCCACACTCAGCTACTAACATATCACATATACGGGCCGACCTTGGTGTCGTAGACTCGTTCCTACTGAAGGAAACTCACCTTACAAGGCTGACTGCTGAAAACTTGAGTGAGGAATCTCTGACTGCTGCTCCAGCAACTCCCTGGCTATCAATTTAATAATAACACTTAATCAAAATCTGATAATCCTTCTTAGGGTAAAATGACTATTTTACCCCGGGTCAAACTCAACGTTTGGGTCAAAGTCAACCTTCTGGTTGCACTAACACGCCGAGTTGCCCCATCAACTCGCCGAGTCCTAGATCCTAAAATCGCGATCTAACTCTTCGAGTCTCCTCCAGACTCATCGAGTATCCAGGCTACTCTCAGTCACGATCTACCGATTTAACTCGTCGAGTCCCTTTACCGACTCGTCGAGTTCTTGCCTTAAGCTAAGACGGGACAACCCAAATCAATTCGTCGAGTCCCTCTATGGACTCGCCAAGTTCCCCTGTCTGATTGAGCCATCTGAATGGATTAAGCTCCTACTCTTCAGATCCAAGCTCGAAACTTCATCTGCCCCCTGGGAATACACTTGTAAGGGTAAAGTTTTCATCTTTACCCGCCCTTAGTCCTTCTTAATGGGTTTAACTCAAGCCCTAACTTCTCTAAAACATAGATATTGGTCCACAAGCCATAACACCCTAAACCAAGGCACAATATACTTGATCTAGGCTTTGAACATCAGTTGGACACATAAATTCCCAAGATTTCTTTCCATGCATGGTCTTTTAGGGCTAAAGTGGCCATATAAATGCTTATAAGCTTGCATGGGGCTTCCATAGTCATAAAGTTTGCACCTTTATGCCATGGAACCCTTCCTAGATCCCAGATCTGAGATTTAAGTTACTTGGGACGTCCAATCCCAAAGGTCAAGGTTCTTGAACCAATACCCCCATAAAGTGGAAGTAAATAGATCTAAGAAAATAATGATCAAGTTAGAGACTTGATTACCAGAAAATGTAGCAAATGGAGTGTAGTTCCTGGATCTACTTCTTCCCTCTTGAGCCTTCTATCTTCTTCTTCTTCCACAAGCTTCAAAATGCACAAAGATTACTTAAAGTGGCTCACACATTCAAAGAAAGCTCTAGGGTTTCGTGGATTAGGGTTTGGGACAAGGAGGCTGTAAATGAGGCCAAGGGGTGGGGATTAAGATGCTTAAATAGGGTGCAAAACCCCGAAATTAGGGTTTTATCCTGGCCGATCTACTCACTGAGTCGAGGGTTTCACTCGTCGAGTGGATAACTTAAAAATGCGCCTAATCTGCCTTCTACTCGACGAGTTAGGGCCACCAACTCATCGAGTCCCTCTCTTAAAATGAATAAATAAATAAGTTAAATACATACCAGGAACAAGGCGTTACAAATATGGAAGAATAGATGATTCTTATGGTAGATCCTTAAGAATAAAGAAGATAATGGGGATTGGTAATCGGGTTAATTGTTCGACCTGAAGTACGTGAAGAAACAAATTAACTATATTATTGTGGGTTGAAAACCCTATGTAGTCACCAGGTTTCCCAACCTGACCCACTCAGTTTATTTTTATCACAGGTAATGATGTGAAGATACATTACATTGAGAGATTAAAGGAGATGTAAACCATTAGTGTAAATAAAGATAAGGTCTGTTTATGCTTATGTTTATGTATTGACGATGGCATCCCAATGTTTTAATATAAATAAAATACATTTCTTCGGAAATGCTTTGATAATATATTTATCATGTTTTTCTGGGAACAAATTCTGTATTATTGTTCTTCAAAAAGGATACTCTGATTTTTAAATAACCATAAATAAAATTTTAAAAATGACTGTGAATTTGGGGATTTCGCATATTACTAGCATGTTGTTCTAACATATCATAACATAATCTCAATTAACTGTGTGGTAATTTGGGGTCTACTTAATGGCTCCGACTGATCGTACACATCGTATCTTCCTTGATTATTTTGAAAACCATTGAAAATTTGTTTTAAAAATCTTTTTTTTCCTTAGTTTGAGACTGGATTCACACGAGTATTCCTCCAATTCACTCAAACCAAGGCTCTGATACCAACTTGTAACATCGATAAAATTCATCAAAAATTTAAACTTTTTAAAACCAATCCACAAATCATCATTTGTTACAACTTATTTTTAAAAACAAGTTTAATGTAAGAGTTTTCCGAAAATCATAAATCAAAACACGAGGAGGTGCTCGATCACGCCTTCGCCTTCCCACGATCATCTGAGGTACCTGAAACATAATCCCAAAACTGTAAGCCCAAAACTTAGTGAGTTTCCCCCAAAGTACCCAACCAACACATAATCATAATAATAATCGCAAACAACATGCATACAAAGCCTTCAGTCTGACTGCAACACCCCACCGGCCTATTGTCTATCTGGTATGCTCACAGAACCTTCAGCATGATTGGTATGCCTCATCGGGCCTTCAGCTTATCTGGAACGTTCTCCGGGCCTTCGGCCTTACTGGTACCCCCCACTGGCCTCCAGTCTATCCGGGACGCCCTGGGTCTTTTGGCCTTGAGCACATAGCAGGACTGCCTCAACCCAACAAACTGTCACATATCAACATATACCATATCAAACCCTAGCTAGCATATACAGATAGTCATACAGATCTAACATATCACTAAGCATAGCATCATCCTATATACCAGGATACCGATTCAATAGATCACTACAACACAATAGCATGCATAATAGGATATCAATCCAAAGGGCCAACATTGGTGCCTTCGACCCGCAAGTACAGTGAAGAAAAACTCACCTCTCAAACTGAACAGAACTGATGAGGCCCGACTCCGAATATCAGCTCTCTAATAGATACCTATTTCCACCAAATGACCAATTCCATCTAAATCCCAAAATACCTAAAATGCCCTCAAGGTCAAACTTGGTTAAACTTGGTCAAAGTCAAAGTCAACTGGTCAAACCCACTAAGTTAACCGAGTCAACCCAGCCGAGTCGACCTAACCGAGTCAATCCAACTGAGCTGACCCAGTGCGAGTACGCGGGGCGTACTCCGGAGGTACGCTTAGCATACTCGAAGCCTCGCAGAAGACCACCGTCGGGGTGGTTGACCGAGTACGCAGGACGTACTCCCATGTACGTGGGGCGTACCCTCACAGCCTCCAAACTCCATTTAGTGCTTAATGGCTTAAGCACTTAAGCCCATATTTTAGTTCCTTGACCAAAACACACCATAGAGTCATAAAGTCTCCAACTTTATGACTTTACACGCCTAATAAGAGGTTAACACAAGGTCTTAATCCATTAAGATCTTATACAAGATGCATGGAGCAATTCTAACCAAAAGGACTTCATTTTTATGGCTAAGGACCCTTCCTTGGTTTGGAAAGGACAGCTCAAAAAGAAAATAACAAACCATGCACAAGATGGGACCTTTGGGATAAGAAAAGCAACATAAAACACCCAAAAATGGGATCTAAAAATCATGACATCAAGGTATAGACTTTATACCTTTTGGAGCTTCTCAAGAAGGGAAAGATTCCAGATCAACAAGCTTGCTTGCACTTCAAGGCTCTATAATACAACTTCTTCCTCCTTCAACACACCAAGAACACACTCTTGAGCTCAACACACACATTAAGAGGGCTAGGGTTTTCAAAAATGTCACAAAGGATGTTGAGGCTGAAAAGGTGAGGAGAAATGAGACATAATGTTGCTTAAATACCACCTAAACACTAAAAATTATGGTTTCCTCCTGAAGCTAGTACACCCCGCGTACATAAGTATACGCCCAGCATACTAGGACGCCCCCTAGTACGCTCAGCGTACACACATGTATACATGGCGTACTCCTCCTGCCATAATTACGAAATTGCCACTAGGGCTTTAAAGCATAACTTCTTGGACTTAGGGACCAAAATGATATGAAATAGAATTATAGGGATGAATTCAGAAGTACCTGAGCATCGGGATGTTACATATATTATAATATTCTGCCCAACGCATGGATATTCTCCTAGTTATATTATAAAAGGGAAATCTTCGAAAAAGTCGAAAATTTTACCCTAATTTACGAAAAAGTCTCAGACTAAAATTTGTTTACGAGAAAACATGAATTACCGGTAAAAATGCCGATTTGACCCATTTTTCTCGGTTTACCGGTTTCATTAATTACTTGTTTCATTAAAGTCCCATTATTTTACCCTAATTTACGATAAGTCCCAAAGTAAAATTTTGTGATGCTTTGACATTTTTCTGCATTTAACATACATTTTATCAGTTTCATTGCTGACTTGGATACCTAGTCATTAAATTAAGATGTATACGATGGTTTATATAATGTTACATTTACAGTAAAATTTGATATCCTCTCATCGGCTCATTTATGACTGTGTATCTAGGTCAGCAATGAAAACAATAAAATGTGTGTTTTTAGGAAAAAACAGCAGGAAATGAGCTGATGTCTGATGAAATGAATATATTGAGTTACATAACTTTAGATAGACTATTTGAAATATCTTATAAACATAAAAATGACAAAGTTGTTGTTAGTTTATGTAATTATTAAAGTCTTCGTTGGATGCATTTTATATTCCAAAAAATATCCAATGTATTTTATATTCCAAAAAATAAACTGGTAAAATGTATGTTACAGGGAGAAATGGTCAAATCATCACCAAATTTTAGTTTGTGACATATTCGTAAATTATGATAAAATAATAGACTTTAATGAAACCAGATAAGTAATGAAACCGGTAAAAATGGATCAAATCACCATTTTTACTGGTAATTAATGCTTTTTCAGAAACAAATTTTAGTTTGAGATTTTTTCGTAAATTAGGATAAAATTTTACGAGTTTTTCTAAAATTTCCGATTATAAAATTAGACATATTGAGGTCCTGGTTACCAGGCATACATCAAGTCGCCTTTCAAAAAAAATAATAAAAAAAAATAGACATATTAATGTGTGTTGTAAGCACTTGTAATTAAATGCAAATCATTTTTCCTCTTAAGAGTAGCTCCAAAAGTCTCACTCATGTCAATATCTCGAGATGTTGTTCCATCTGGGAGTTCCCAATTGAAATGATAGAGTAGCATTGCAAGAGGAAGCTCAACGTTGGCCAACCCCAAGGTCATCCCTGGACACATTCTTCTTCCAGCCCCAAATGGTAGAAGTTCGAAATCCGTTCCTGTCATATTAACTGAGTTATCGCTAAATCTCTCTGGTACGAAACTTTCAGGATCAATCCAGTAATCTGGATGACGTCCTATTTTCCACGCATTAATTAAAACTTTTGTATTGACAGGAACATGGTATCCATTAATCTCACATTTCACTCGAGATTCTCTAGGGACTAACAAAGGAACAGGTGGGTGTAACCTAAAGGTTTCCTTGATCACTAGTTTAAAGTAATGAAGTTCTTGAATATCTGACTCGTAGATCCTATTTTTTCCCTTGAGTGCATGCCTAAGCTCCACTTGAACTTTTTTCATCACCATCGGATTTTTCATTAGTTCTGACATCGCCCATTCAATTGCCACTGAAGAAGTATCTGTGCCTGCTACGAACATATCCTGTGACATAATTTTCATGGTCATTGCAACACCATCCAAATTCCACTATATTAATTCATTTTCGGGAAATGTATGCCAGATAGCTTAAGTATACGTGGGTTGAGGGAAGAATGTTAGGGAATTGGGATTCATGGAAAGTATGTATATGGTCAAGAGGGAAAGTTTGCCACGTATCATGAATGATTTTTAATCACATGAAACATTTGAATTTTCCTTTTCCTTTTTTTAAAAATCATGAATCATCGTTTTTGAAAATGAGAAAAGTATATATGTACTTGATAAGAATGTTAGGCATGCGCATACAACATTTTTATTCCAAACTTAGCGTATAACACTAAATTTATTATCAAAATAATTACGAACAAAAATACGAGATCATATTTATATTTCATTATTCAGCAATAAGTAATTATTATAGATCAAGTATTTATAAGTACGTGTTAGGTTTTTTTTTTTTTCTTTTTTTTTTTTTCAGAACACATCCCCTAAGTATCTAATAAAACTGGAATAGGTCTCTTGGTCAATTTCACATAAATACTTTGCAGACTTAATTAAGGAAGAGAATTGTGATTTATAAAAGAGTTTAAATATACTAACCACGATAACTGCTTTGACGTTGTCAGATGTTATCGGAAACTCGAGCCCACCATCAACTTTAAGCCTCAATAATACATCAAGAAGGTCTTCGTTGTGGTTGTTCTGTCCAGCTGCACGACGTTCTTCATGTTCAGAGATGATGCTGTCCAAAATATGGTCGATCTTCTTGCGTATCTTCACTAACTTGTTCCTCATGCCAGTTAGAAAATGCAGAACTTTGACAGATGGAAACAGATCAGACAAATCAAAACCACCGGCTAAAGATACAGTCTCTTGAATCAATGCAAGAAGCAACGCCTGATCCTTGCATCTGCTCCCAACTGCGACCCTACACGCGATAACATTGGTCATCATGAAAATTTTCTGAGTAAGATTGATTGTTTTTGATCCCTGCATGCCAATGGATTGAATGAGGTTCCATGACTCTTCTTCACGAACTGAATGGAAAGAACGGACTTTTTTAGCACTTAGAAGCTCCAAGATACATATTTTACGCATTTGTCTCCAGTAGTCACCGTAAGGAGAGAAGACGATGTCTGTGTAGTTATATCCAATAATCTCAGCATTTAGAAGCTTGGGTCTGTTTGCGAAAGAGAGATCATGAGTTTTCATGACTTCTTTGGCGAAAATAGGTGATGAGACTATGACAGCGGAGACTTCACCGAGTTGCAGACGAATGACTGGTCCTAGTTTATCGGCTAAGTTTCCTAGAGCATGGTGAGGTAGAGCTCCCAAGAGATGATGCAGGTGTCCAAGTAGAGGGAGCTTCCATGGCTGTGGAGGAAGCTTTTTGTTTATATCATTGGAGTTGGAGCTTCTAAATCTTTTGATTAAGAAGAGGAAGAGGGGAAGAAAAAGGAGGAGAGAAAAGGAGATTTGGAGCTCCATTTTTGCTTCTAGTCAAGTGCTTTTTGTTTATATATTTATACTATTGGACAATGTAGAGGGTGGAGGGCGTTGACTAAAATATGATCATATTGTATTTAGTGATATCAATACACTATTAACTGTAGTATAATATCGAATCTTCAATGGAAAATTCCCATCAGATAAAGACAAATATAATAAATACAGATTTATTAATTATCTTTATTTTTATTGAATATCAGGTTTACATGTATAAACTGTATCTATTTATATATTATTAGTTCGGGTTGATCAAAACAAAATATTAAATAAAAACGATCACATGTGAAGTTTATTTGAATTTGAAATATGAAACAAGTGGAAATTATAAGAAAAAAACATACGAAAAATTAATAAATTAAAATTATGTGTTTAGCTGTCAGACTCGTATACTAAACGGGTTAATTATTACAATATCTTAAATATAAAAGTTTAAACTGTAGATTTATTTGAAATTGAAATTGAAATTTCAAATTTGAAAATTTGAAATTAATAGTTATTATGTTAAGTTTAATTTATAGAAATTAAATTAATGATATATTGAAAATTAAAAATGAAACAAATGACAAGTGGAAAATAAATATATCTCAAAATTATGACAAAATGACATGTGGCCAATTGCATAAGAGAATGACATGTGTCAAAATCATTTTTATTTATTAGAGTAGATTATAAATGAAATATTTTTTTTTTCACCACATTCATTTGAAACTCGATTTTTCAATTTCTTTACAATAGTATTATAAATAAGTTAAATAATCTTCTATAAACAAGAAATTGTGTTTTACTATAATGTATTCATCTCACATCGATGGTGAGAGTAAACAAGATAATGTTTCCTCATCTATAAATACGAAAGGTTGTGAAATGTTTCAAATGGACCAAACCATGAGAACTTCTTCATGCCTACCTTTTTAGGATTTTGAGGGTATTATTTGGCGAGATTGTCTATGTTAGCAAGTATCCAGTTAAGTTTTATAATTCCAAAAAATGGTTTTGAATTGGATTTTTTCAGGTTCAAACAGTGTTTCAGTAGAAAAAAAAGTTATGTAGTTGGGTATATTAAGTTGAATCGGAGCTAGATCAATTTGGACCGACAAAGGGAATCACTTTTCCTTTCACCACATACATTTGAAACTCTTATGATTTTTCAAATTATTTCTAATAATATTATAAATAAGTTACATAATGTTATATAAATATAAAAAAACACCTACCTAAACCTAAAATTATAAGTGTTTGAAAAATCACTTTGATTCAAAAGCACGAAATGTATACAAATCGAGTTTCACTAGAAAAAAAGTTATGTAGTTTGGTATATTGAGTTGAATCGGTCCGATTTTGATCAATTTAAACCGATAAATGAAGCAATTTTCTTTCACCACATACATTTGAAACTCTGATGATTTTTCAAATTGCTTCCAATGATATTATAAATAAGTTACATAATGTTATATAAATATAAAAAAAAACATCTACCTAAACATAACATTATAACTGTTTGAAAAATCGATTTGGTTCAAAAGCACGAAATATATACTCATATTATATTTTATAATGAACTTTTGAATCATGAAAATACATATAAACAAACTTTCTATATTAAGTACCTAACTGAATTTATAATTTTAGAATTTAACAAAAAGTTATTCAATAAAAACTTACTTTTTTGGATAGCAACTTACGAGATTATAAAAAAATGGAACTATTGAACAATAAAGAAAGGGTAAATAAGAGAAATGGTGTTTTATTAAATAAGTTAAATAATGTTTTATAAACAAGAAAACATGTTTTATTACAATGTCTTCATCCCACATCGATGGTGAGAATAAACAAGAGAACGTTTCCTCTTCTATAAATAGGAAAAATGCTGACATTTTAAAAATGGACCAACCCATGAGAACTTCCTTATGTCTACCTTTTTAGGTTGTTGAGGGTGTTCTTTGGTGAGATTGTGTTTATTGGCAACTGTCTAGTTAAATTTTAGAATTCTGAAAATGGTTTTGAACATGATTTTTTCAAGTTCAAACCAAGTTTCAGTTGAAAAACCGTTATGTAGTTGGGTATATTGAGTTGAATTGGTCCGAATTTGATCAATTTGGACCGATAAAGGAAGCATTTTCCTTTCAACACATACACTTGAAACTCCCATGATTTTTCAAATTGTTTCTAATAATATTATAAATATGTTATCTAAAAATAAAATTATAATTGTTTGAAAAATGAATTTGATTCAAAACACGAAATATATACAAACCAGGTTTCAGTAGAAAAAATGTTATGTAGTTTGATATATTGAGTTAAATCGGTCCGAGTTTGATCAATTTTGACCGATAAATGAATCATTTTCCTTCCACCACATACATTTGAAACACCCATGATTATTCAAATTGTTTATGATAATATTATAAATAAGTTGCATAATGTTATATAAATATAAAAAAAAAATCTACCCAAACATAAAAATTATAATTGCATGAAAAATCAGTTTGATTCAAAAGCACGAAATATATACTCGATTATATTTTATAAATGAATTCATTTTATAATGACCTTTTGGATCACGAAAATACATATAAACAAACTTTCTGTATTAAGTACCTAACTGAATTTATGATTTTAGGATTTAACAAAAAGTTATTCGGTAAAAACATACTTTTTTGGATAGCAACTTACGAGATTACTGAAAAATGAAACTACTGAACAATAAATTTTCAGGATAACGTTTTATTTTTGTTATTTAATATTTTATTTAACAAAATGAAATTATTGGCAAATAAAGAAAAAAGTTTAATTAAAATGTCTTCATCCCACATTGATGGTGAGAGTAAACAAAAGAATGTCTCCTCCTCTATAAATATAAAAAGGTTGTGAAATATTTCAAAATGATTAAGCTATGAGATTTTCCATGCGTCTACCTTTGTAGAACGTTGAGGGTATTCTTTGGTGAGATTGTCTTTGTTGACAAGTGACCAATTAAGTTTCAGAATTTCAAAAATGATTTTGGACTGGATTTTTTAGATTTGGATCGAGTTTGATTAATATCCTAGTGTCTTTTGCCTGATTTAAGCAAAATCGCTTCCATTGGAAGCCGAGTTTAAGTAACATTTCGAGTATTTGGTTGTGTTAGCTAAATTTTACAACATTGTATGTATTAAAATTTTAAGTTCTAACCTTATAAAAGACGTCGTTATTATCATATGTTCTACATAATTATATTAATATTTATGATACAAAAAAAAACATTTACTATTTAAGACAAAAAGATGTCTATATTATCATATGTTGTACATAATGATAATATTTAAAATAGATAAAAAGATGTCTCTACAATCGTATGTTCTACAGAATGATAATATTTAATATAAACGTTTTAATTTAATAAGAAATTATTATTTAATAGATAACAATAATGACTTATTTATTTTTAAAAATTTATAAATTTTTACTCTTTTAACCATATAACTTTGTATACGCACAACAACTTCAAGTTTCAACCATATAACTTATTTATTTTTAAAAATCATTTTTTATATTTGTTATGAAATTATTATTTAGTTGTTAATAACAATGATTTAGTAATTTTTAATATAAAATATTTTTTTCTATCCTGTGTAATGCACGGGCATTTGCCTAGTATTAGCATATAATAATACGATTTACATCGCATGCGATGCAAATGAAACCTTGTATACATTAAAATACAAAAAGGTCATTTGCAACCATATTAATTTTGATATAAAATTACAAATTATACATCAAGTTCAACACTAAAATACAAACAAACCAAACCGTCGATGGACTTAATTTAATAAATTGTGTATTAAATATCAACTTTATAGTAAATTAATTTATCATTCCAAATATGAAATTTCTTCTACTTTGTATAAGATATTACCCTTTCACTAAATGTCTTCATCAAATTTTATGGATCGATATTTATAATCATAGGTGTTAATTTAATAAATTTTGTATTAAACATCAACTTTAGAGTAAATTAATTCAATGACATGTTTAATCTCAGATTATGCTCTTCTATTTGTGACTGGGATACTGAGGATCACAAACAAGATGTGAATAACCACACAAATATGTTTTATCATCCCAATTGATGTGTTGGTAAACCACACACGACCCATTAACAATGATAATATATGAGATACTCATTACAACTCTTTATTAGTGTCTATTAGTGGGTTGGTTAACCACACACTCCACTAACGACTTATAAAGTGTATTGTACAATTTCATGGGTTCGCATACAAATTCACATATTTCTAAACTAACTAGATTTGGGATTTTTGAAAAAGAAGGTTCTAGTAGTTTTTAATATCATTATACTTTTAATGAAAATTAATTGTCCTATCAAATCATTTCGGCTAACGACCCTCCACCATACAAGAGAGCGGTGGGTAAAAGTGTATACCCAATGACGGTCATTTTATAGACCACTTCCGTAAACTCCCCTTATAGTATGGCTTCATAAATGAGGCGTACTAGCAATTTGACTGACTTTAGTCTTATACATATAGTAATTATTAAGCTTTTAATTTGACATATAGTATAATGTGTATTTTAAACATTTGAAAATACTAGGGTTTATATTTTAAATTTCGAAATTAATATTCAATTAATTAAATTGAAAATAAATTAATAATGATTTAATTATTATCTTTTAATTAACAATTATATCATCCATAAAATTCATGCAAATTTAAAAGTTTTTCAAACTTCCAAAAACCACTAGTTATTACAAAATGTTTTCAAAATAGTTTCATATCAGAGAATCCCATAAATCACAGTCATAAAATGTGAGGAGGTGCACGATCAAGCCTTCGCCTTCCCACGACCATCTGAAGTAACTGAAAAAAAATCAACAACTATAAGCCCGAAGCATAGTGAGTTCCCCCCAAAATACCAACGCCATACAAACCAAAACAATATCATAACAAACAACTTGCATATAGAGTCTTCAGTGTGAC